GTCCCACATCAGGCTCCCTGCTCAGCAGGGAGTCTGCTTCTCCCTCTGACCCTCCTCCCTCTCATGTTCTCTGTCTCTCATTCTCTCTCTCGCAAATAAATAAAATCTTAAAAAAAAAAAAAAGACCTATTAAAAAAAATAAATAAATAAAATAAAAAATAAAAAATAAAAAAAAAATCAAAGGGCATCAGAAACAAAGCACATATGAAATAAGAGCCAGACTAACAGGGCACAGGGGTATTCGGAAGATTCAGACACCAGCTCCAGTCCAGAATCCAGATGGCTGTCCCCACATGTTCTAAAGAGCTAACTTGCAAAGAATTATAATCGTTCACGGTACTGGAAAAAAGCAAAAGAGTTAATCACCCAAAACCAATTTTCTGTGGTTTTGCAATTAGCTCCTTGACTTTCCTAATTTGATTTGAATCCATTTAATATTAAGGTCCCTCAGAATTCCCCAAACCCAGGCAGCCTGAGTGCTAAGCACACCCCAGATAAGAAGTTACACCTGCAGACCTCACAGTACTCCTACTGATATGGTTATCCAACCAAGGCCAATGTTGTTTATCCTTATGGCTCAGCAGTCTAATGTAATAAAGAGGAAGAAATTAAAAGAGGGAAAACACTCATTTTATCATCCACAGCCGGTTGGGTCTCTTCCCATCATCAACCCATCCAATCTACAATGATCCTTTGATGATAGAACTGACTATTATCGAAAGCTTCTGCATACAGAAGACCTCAGGGAAGAGCTTCTCAAATTTTGGAGATTCTTAGGCAGCCTAAGGATGCTGAGAAAAAAAATGCATTTGGGCCCTGAAATCCGCTTTTGGAACAAGTGCTCTTGAGTGATGGTGCTGAGATTGCTCCTAAGACCACAATTTGAGAAACACTTCCATGTGGTGGCCTACCTCATCTGGCCTAGAGCCTCTAGCTAACACCACTGACCCTGGAATCCGGTGGCCCATCCATGTGCTGAAAGATGAAGCCAACACATAACTACAGGTTTGTCACCAATATCCTATAAATAAATAAACCATACAGAGAGGTGAGAATTGACCAAGAAAGTAACAATCATTTAAGGCCTCCTACCACTCCCCTAAAAAATCTACTGGCCTATGCTTTCTAAATCAGGTGGGCAGAGATGGCATTCATTCAACTACTGTGCATCTGCTATGTATCAAGCATTGTGCAAGATACTGGGTACCACATCAGTGATGAACAAGGCAGACACAGCCCCTGATCTCACCACTGGCCGGGAATAACAATAAATTTGTTCCCAGCGCCCTGCATATCAGCCATGGCGAGAGAACAGACATAGCCGTTAGGGTGGAACGGAGGGCTTAGAAAGCTCCCACTGGGATATTTCTTTAGCTCTTGGGCGTGAGATCCAGAAAAAACAGGCATAAGAGGAATGCGCAACGGCTCTCCACCTCAGCCCCGAATCAGTCAGTAGGCAAATCTAAGAATCAGTCACTGTGTCTTAGAATCAAGAAATTAAAATCATATAAATAAACTCAGGCCCAAGGAACTAAAACAGAAAAGACCCAGGAACACTGAAAGATGAGAGGCAAACCAGGACCTTGGGACCACCAAGAGGATGTCACAAGGTCCCAGTCCTCAGGCCTGGTTCCCCACACCGCGCTCCCTCCTCACCACAACCCTGCCCGAGGCAACCCAAGGATGCTTGCCTTCTGAGCCGCTGTGTGTGTGTGTAAGAGAAAGAGAGAGGAAGTGATAGGCAAGGCAGGAAAGGAATGATCCAGCAACTGACCCAATGCAAATAGCCTGACAGAAGAAAAACTGCCATAATTATAGTGGCTTTAAAAAACATTTTGCAAAGTATGTAATGGGGCACCCCTCTTGCCTTTAAGCCACCCACATCTTCTCTTCTCTTCTCATCTCAACCTTACTCTCTGCTTTCCTTGCTGGGGGGGTCCTCTCTCTACCCTGGAATCCTACCAAAGGGGCCGGCTACCCATCATATATTTTAAGTGAGAATCTGGAGGAAAACATTACACCTGATTTTAGTCCCTAAGGTTAACTGTGACAGAAAGCAAAGCGCCTGCCAGTTACCAGCGGCCGTCTGCAGAGCCTGAGGTCAAGGAGGGAATGGCCCCCATCAAGAAAATAAGCTACGGCACTCCAGGATAGCGGCCCAACCTGCTCTCCTCGGGACGGTTTTATTCCTTTACACAGGGCAGTGCAGTCGCCGCTTGCAACTTGAGACAGTCACAAGGCAAGCCCTGTTAAATAATCAAGTCTGGTTTTAAATGAGCAAGCCTCCCCCCACCTCCCCAGCATCTGGCTCCATCCAACACATCAAATCAAGGGGAAGATTTTCCCAAAGGCTGAGAGTTAAGCTACTTACTGACAGCTGGAAGCTTAATCACTGCTTTTCTTAGAGCATTAACTCCCACTAGCCAATGACTACACATTCTATTAGCCATGGAAATTAACACGCGTCTAAAATTCCCAAAGACATTGGCCTAATCCAAAAGGAAATCAGGCGGCGAGATTAAAGCAAATTGCCACAGAGCCCCACCCCTCCTTTCTGTGTTCTTTTAATTGGGATGTCAAAGAAACACGTGTTTGACAAGGATGCCTGGCTACCAGGAAACAACCACATTCCAAGAGCCCAGAGACATCCCGAGTGGCTGTCTGAGCTTTTCCACTCCTCTGACCTCCTGGGACCATCCAAGCCCCACGGGAATGCCCGTCTATATCCAGTGCCCCTCAGTCAAGCTCCCCGGGGCGCGTTGACCCCTTCCCTGCATATTCAAACTCACCGGCTCCATCACAGAATGCCGAACCTCTGAAAGGAAACTCAAAAGGAGTTTCCACGTTCCTCAGCACCTTCAACTTACCACCACCTTTGTAGCAAACATGTACTTGTCCCGAAGCTGAAAGTCTTTCACTTCCTCCAGGATCATTTCCTGGTTCTCCCGGGACTGGAAGAAGTCCGTACTTCGGAAAACCGTGGAGTAGCCAGAGGGTTCGTGCCGTTCCACGTAGATGGTGTTTGGCTTGTCATAGGGATCGATACCCCTAGAGGAAAGAGAGCGGTTTCTATCATCACTCTGTTTAAGCAACTGGAGATACCGAGGTTCTGCCGTTCAGACAGCCTGCTGGAATTGAGGGACACAATCCCACGCTCTCTGCCACAAACAGAGCCCTTTGGTTGCTCCTCGGTTCAGTGGGGAGGGAAAGTGATCGCCATTTGTCAAGTGTTGATGTTGTTACTGCTCTCTTCAAAGTGCCCTGGGTGTCACTCAAGGCAAGCCTTGGCCGTGCCTGAGATGAGCAAAAAGAAGGAAAAGTAAAAGGTGGGGTGTTTTGGAATCAGTAAGCAAGGGACTGCTTGAGGCTGTCAGTGAGTTTCTGACCTCAAGTTGTAAACCTCAGAGAATGAAGGAGTGTGTTTTCCCAGGCCCGTACGCTCTCAGAACAGCTCTAGAAGAAACCACACGAGGAACCAGTGAGCCTGATCTTGCTAGCAGGCCCTGCCCTTTCTGTCTGTCCGTCCTGGGCCACTGTCGCTGATCCGTGCAATCCGGAGTTATCCTACCAGTGCAAAGTCATGTTCTGCGAGGCTCCTTTGCAAACTCATTCTCACATGGACTGATCTCCCTGATGTCCTTCAGAAATTCAGAGCTCATTTCTCCCCCCACCCCACTCCCTGTGCTCCATCAACAGAGCACCCCTCTGCAGGGAGGCCCCCGCCCCGCCCCGTGTGCATTCTGACCTGCATGTTGAAATCCTACTCTTCTGAGGTCAAGTTCAAGGCCCCTCTTCCAGGAAGCCCTCCCCAAAGCTCTCCACCCTCCTCCCAATACCCACGATGTACCTGTGCAGTGTTCAATTTCAAGCCTTATGTATTAATGTTATGTGAGTTTCAAACAAAGGCAGAAAACTGTTTTGGGTGGGTGGATTTTGGAATCACTCTCGTGACTTTATACAATGGTGCTTCTTATTCACAGTGGTGCTTCTTATTCACTGTGTTCTATTATTCACCATAATGTGTCTGAGCTTCCTAGAGAGAGTACAGATGCCTTTAAAGGCCATGTCTTATATTTCTTTTTGTCCTACAGGGCTCCCAGCTGAACTGAATCTTGCTGCACTGAATCCGTGGACCACAGTACAAAGGCTACTCCAAACTGAAAACTCTAAGGTTGACTTGATCAAACTCCCTCAAGAAGAATCTCAGAACAGGAGTCTCCCCCAAATAAGGCCCCCAACAACAGCTGCAAGGAGGACTACTCTGCCTCAGGTTTCCTAATGCTCAACAAGACACCAGGCCAGGCAGACCATTCAGCACATGGGAAAAATCAGGAGGAGAGCCTCAGAGGGAGGATGCAGGGATGACCCAAGGAAAGGCAGGACTCCCTTCTGGACCTGTCTTTGCAGAGTGACATATGCATGATGGCTCTCAAGGTAATGAAGGCTCGGATATAAAATTCCTTCAAAGATATACTGTCAAGAGAACGGGAAGGGGGGCGCCTGGGTGGCTCCCTCGTTAAGCGTCTGCCTTCGGCTCGGGTCATGATCCCAGGGTCCTGGGATCGAGCCCCGCATCAGGGGGTCCCTGCTCAGCGGGGTTCCCTCTCTCGCTGTCTCTCTGTCAAATAAATAAATAAAATCTTTTAAAAAAAATTTTAAAAAAAGAGCACAGGAAGGAAGGGAGGGAGGGAGGGAGGGAAAGAGGGAAGGGGGGAAGGAGAGAAGGAGGGAGGAAGGAAGGAAAGAAGGAAGGAAGGGGGAGAGAAGAAATAGAAAACCAAAAGGCATGACTTTGGCCCCACAATCTGGAGTCTAAGCAGAGCACTGGAGAAGCCAGCAGGCTTGGCCCCAGTGCAGGAGACAACTGCTCATCATCAGACGCTCTGCGTGCGTATGTGTGGGGGTGGTGGCATGTTCTCTTCTTTTCCACAATTAGAAGTACTGATTAAAGTACTTCCTCTACCCTAGAGGATATGCAAATTAAAACAAAGCTGCTGGATATTTTTAAAAAGGCAGAGAGGAAGGGACCTTCACTCAGAGAATTTTGAGACTGAGCTCACCTCTGCTATTCTTTTCCTAAACAAAAGCAGTATCTAGAGATAGAAAGAGCTGCGACTTCCCTCCCAATTCTCTTCCGTGATCCCGCTGTGGACCTCCTGTTTCTGAGAGCCACTCCGCCTCCAAGCTCGGCTACTTGGCCATCGCTAGCTTCCACTACGGTCTGGTCTCTTGGCCCTCGTTTGAAAATTCCAAGCCTTGCTCCATCTGTGAGCACAGTCAGCAGTCCTCACCGGGCCTCACCTACAACCCTTCCATGGTGCTCGGCCAGGCACCCCTGAGTCCCTCCCCCACTGCCCTTCCACTGTCCCACCTTGCTGATCTCCAGCTCTGGATTCCATAGACCACTGGTTTTCCAAACGCCTGCTGCTCTCAGGCTGCCCCGCATTATTGAATAAATGTATGCCGTTATTCTTAGAGAGGTTAGATTACACTCTCACTTATCATGGGAAATCCTAGGGGAAAATCCTCCAAATGGCCTGAAATGCCCTGACACCAGACATGTAGTTATCTAAAATAAGATAGGCCAGGCCTTTCCCCTAAGATATCAGCATATGTGCACAGAGGCAAAAGTACAACATACAGATTCCCCAATGTGATGTTCCTTTACTCAGTCATCCTGCTAGTGTGCCCTCTTAATATATGGTTATGTAAGCAGATGAAAGCCCAATCTGTCCCCTTAAGACACATATAAAGCAAAAGGAAGTTCTAATGGTACTCCTTGGGTAGAGGTTATACTTGGATAAGACTGTGGTCATAATTTCACTAAGACAATACAACCTGGGTCCAAGGAAAAAAACAAAAGGATCAGAAACAGCTGTCTCTTTGAAAAGGAAGTCCAACGGAGCCTGAAGATACTCAGCTGTAGGACCCCTCTACATCTGGGCTCCCTCCCATCTTCACCGTCCTCATTCACCAAGGAAGCAATACCAACTCAAAGACATTCCTCTGCAAACAGAGAGCTAAAAGAAGCACAGACAGTATGTACCACTGCATTTAATGAGGACTAAAAACCACATGGAAACCTCAAAACACAAATGATAAACTGAGAATTATAAATGAACACACACATGTGGTATCTAGTGTCACAAAGGTCTAACCTCAAATATACAAAGAGCTCCTGGAAATCAATAAAAAGACTAACCATTCAACAGAAAAAGGGCCAAGGGCATGAAAAGACATGTCATAAAAATAGAAATAAAAAAGACACGGGGCACCTGGGTGGCTCTGTCATTAAGCATCTGCCTTCGGCTCAGGTCATGATCCCAGGGTCCTGGGATCGAGCCCCGCATCGGGCTCCCTGCTCCACGGGAAGCCTGCTTCTCCCTCTCCCACTCCCCCTGCTTGTGTTCCCTCTCTCGCTGTGTCTCTCTCTGTCAAATAAATAAATAAAATCTTTAAGAAAGAAAAAAAAAAGGAAATAAAAATGACGCTTAAGCTGTTAAAAGATGCTCAAACTCATTCATAATAAGAAAAATTCAAACTAAGACTATACTGAGATACCCTGTCTTACCTGACACATTGGCTGTGGAGAGAAGCACAGTTCTATGTTACTGAGATGAGAGCAAAATTTAACAGTCTCCATAGATTTGGCAATCTCTACCAAAGTTACAATTTCAATGCTTTATTCACTGGGGATATATCTGTGCTCAAAACTGACCAAAGCCCCTACCTTTGTAGAGCTTTCATTCTATCAAAGAGAGAAAGACAAATAATAAGCCTAATAATCCCATATTAGAATGTGGTAAGTGTTACGCAAAAAAATAACAGATCAGGGCACAGGAAATGACAGGGGAGTAGTTGCAATTTTAATAGGATCCTTAGGATAGGCCTCATTTAGAAAGTGTTATTTGAGCAGACTTGAATGAGATAAGGGAGTAAGCAATAAATATATCTTGAAGAAGAACAGTCTAGGCAGGGAAAAAAGCAAGTGCAAAGGCCCTGTGGCAGGAATATGCTTGGCATTAATCTGAGAGAAGTGATGGTGCATAAAGAGTTCAAAGTAGAGAGAGGAACAACATGATCTGACCTGTTTTTACAAAGATCAACCCGGCCACGTACTGAGAATTAACTGCAGAAGGACAGGACTAGTGGTGGAAAGACCAGGTGGACAACCAATGAGTGACAGTGGTGGCTTGGAGTAAAGTCATAGCTGAGCAGTAGATCCTAGATATAAACCAAAGGTAGAGACAACAGGATTTCCTGATAGGTGGAATGTGAAGCATGAAACAAACATGAAATCAGTGATGACTCCCAAGTTCTTGGCCTGAGCAACTAGAAACTGAAATGGGGAAGATTCCAGGGGCAGCTGACTGGGGGCAGTGGAGGTCAAGGGTCGATGTAGGAGGAATCAAGTTTGCTAAGTGTGAAGGGTTTGAGTGACCTGCTGACCCAGCATGTCTGCTCCTGAGAATCTGTTCTGCCCATTTGCCCACACGTGTACAAGTGCATCTATTCAAGATTACATACTGCACCCTGTAACAGTGAAAGATCAGAAGGACGTACGACTAGCAACAGCTGTACTTCTGCAAGTCCAGCCCTGTTGATTTCTCTCTCCTTCTCAAAACCCTATAGGGGCTCCTCGCTGCTTTCAGAATTCAGTCCAGATTCCTTTACCAAGCACTGCATATTCGGATACCAATGTCCCTTCCCGAACTTCACCCAACATACTGTCCAGAAGTCAGACTTCGTGTTCTCCACCCAAGTACCACAGTGTTCTCTCTCTCTGCCTTTGGCCATTCTGTTTCTGTCTGGAATCCCAGCCCCGCACACCTCCAGGCCCCTCCTGCTACCTCCAGCCTCTTGCGCACATCCTGGCTCAAAAGCAACCTCCTCCATGGAGCTGGCTGGGATCTCCCCATCTGGAAAGACTAGTCCCCCCTCTGGCTTCTCCTGCTAGGTCTGTGACTTTTGTGTGTCTTCCATGATGTGTGTTCTGTACACAAAATGTCTTTTCTTGCCTCCTAAGCTGCAGTCTCCTTAATAACTATATCCATAAATTATTCAACTTCTTCTACCCTAAAGCATCGAACATGTTTCATATTCAGCAGACATCCAAAAAAATACGTTATGAATGAACAAGTGAATGAAAGTGATACAGAGAAAAATCCCCACTTCTGTTGTCATGCTCGAAGAGTGAAGGTCTTTAGAAATTCTAATCATGCAAGTGCTTCAAGAGTCCCCTGGGTTCCCTGATGGACTGAAAAATGCAAAAGCTCTGTCACTTCTCTCACCAATAACTTTCCTCTCTCATCCCCCACCGCCCCACACAGTGAGCGTGTTGTACTCTCAGTTCTAATTCCCAGGTCTGGAATGTGCCTTTCCCGAACCACATGCTCCACATTTCAGGTGAGGGCAGGTCTGTCCTCCATGAAGGAGCTAGAACTGAAGAAAGGTGATTATGTAATTCAAACTTCTTAGATGGAGGACTTACCAAGAAAAGGACTTCACATGTTCCTGAATCAGGATCCAGGTCTGGCCAAAATCATCTGACTTCCACAGCTGCAAAGACCAAGGACAAGAAGAGATCAAGATGCAAGAGGCAGGGACACCTGGGTGGCTCAGTGAGTTAAGCGTCTGCCTTCAGCTCAGGTCATGATCCCAGGGTCCTGGTATCGAGTCCCGCATCGGGCGGCTCCCTGCTCAGTGGGGAGCCTGTTTCTCCCTCTGCCTGCCACTCCCCCTGCTTGTGCTTTCTCTCTCTGACAAATAAATAAATAAAATCTTAAAAAAAAAAAAAAATAGAAGCAAGGGGCAGGCATAACCTGAACGGCAAGGCCATCAGGCCCCGCCATAAATAACGTGCGGTCTGGGAAGACGGGCCCGGAGATCAGCAAGGCCAGCTTGGCTACTCCAAAAGCGAACGAGGGTGGGGAGGCAAGGTGAGATCTGCACCTTCCCGTTCCTCTCCACAGTTACTAAGGCTTCAAGAATAACTACAAGGAAAAATGACTGGGTATTGTCTTCCATTTATGGATCATCAGAAATTACAGTTTACTCGACACTAGCCATCAGGGATAGTAAAAACAAAAGGATTACACTGTACTTTCTCACCTGGGAAACCATGTCCTTAAAAACCCATAATGGGCCACGGGGATTAAAGGTGAACAGAGGGGACCCTGGCTAAGCGCAGAGGTAAAGAGCACCAAGGGGAACCACTTGAATGCAAACGATACGGCCGTGAGTGATGAACTTGCTGGTCTTTGCCAAAGCCCCTGAACGTCCAAACACAGCACCTGAGCGTTCCTCTGGCCCTAGTGACCACATAAGAAGAAGCAGAAGACTAAAAACAACGTTCATCCACGTATACTGGTAAACTGACCCAGCCTGTACTTAGGTTACTCCCTAAGGCAAGGAAAGGTAAACAGATCATGTTTTGGTTAAACAACCTGCAAAGAAAAAGATATGTTCCAAGGTTCCTCTGAGCCAAGCCATTCAAAACTCCTCATGAATCCAATCCTACAAAGTCTACTGGTTTCATGGTATTATACCAGACCGATAGCCTCAATTTGGCAAGTTTCAACCTTGAGAGATAAATCCTACTTGGGCTGTCTCCCCATCTCACTGTCCTTCAAATCCAGATTTAAGGAGAAAAATACACATATTTATATTAAAGGCACACAAACACACACACATGTAGGAAAAAAATTTAAGTTAATGATAATTTCAAATAAATGGTACAAAAGCAGTATGTTGTTTGAGGCAGAGGATGGGAAAGGTAGAACAGAAATTCAAGATAGAGGTCCCAGCAGAGCTCAGACTCCAGGCTTTAGCTGGCTCTGTGTGAATAATTTCCAGAGTTTCGATGGACCCCCCCCCTCAAACCCACAAAGGTGCATCGACACGGAGAAGGGCATGATGTCTGGCTACAAGGGCCTGCCGAGCGCTTGGCATTGCCCCCTGGCTGGGAGGCAGACGGAGAGTGCCAGGGAGATACGGTTTTCTTCGGCCGTGGGAATTCAACTAGTACAAAGTCTAAGCTTGGGAGAGGAGGAAGGAGGGGCTGGAGGAGGTCAGTCAGAGGACACACAATCCCCACGGGCAGGAACAGAAAACCGGAGAAGCCCCACCTGACTGTGTTCCAGAAGCTCCCTTACCTGCTTGTTGGGGTGAGACCTGTCAAAGCCCAGGAGAAGGTTGGAGGCCTTGCTGTGCAGGAGGAGATCAACTGCCCGGAACGGGATGGAAAAGCCTTGGATAGTGTTGCAGAAGTCAAACGTGATCCAGAGGTACTGGGCATAAGCATCTACAAAGATGTACTGCAAGAGAAACAAGGCAAGCTCAGAGCGGGACCTGGCCAGGGCTGCCCAATACCCACCTCCCAACTCCCCCTAGCAGTGTGTGCGGGGCCGGGGGCCTGCAGGGCCCCCACTCGGCTTCCTCCCCATCTCCTGGCCAGGAGGAGCTGCTGGTGCCCAACAAGCAAGGCTCTGGGAAGGAAGGGGTGCAGGACAGGCTCTCCTTTCAGCAGGTAATTGAGCTGGTCAAGCCTATTTTTTCTTTGAATTGACCTGGCCATTCTCACCCTCTGGCAGGTCACTCAGGCACCATCAGAGGATGACTGGGACCCAGAAGGCCTGCTCTTCAGACTGGCTGCACACAGGTAAGCCTGCTTCCCTCCCTCCATCCTCTGAGGAGCTACAGGAAATCCCTACAATCACACCCATCTAGGAGGATGTTCTGGGCACTAGGCCAGGGGACAGGGCAGCCCCGAGGACCCAGCTGCCAGTGGGGCCGGCTGCCTCACTCTGGGGCCCGGCAGGAAGAGCTTGGCGAGCAGGGGCTTCACTTGACTTAGCCCTGCACAGGTAAGTGGCCCTGAACAAGTGGGACTGCAGAGTGACCGCCAGCCTAGAGAGTTCTCCAGGAGAAAGGACCGAGGCAATTCAACTTCACAAATGTGCACTGAATATTCCCCGTGGACCGGAAGCTGCAGGTGCCACGGTGAAAACCCAGAATCCTTGCAGTCTCGCATGGGAGAAAGATAGACGTGATCATGGGTGACTGTAACTCAAGGGAAAATGAGATTCAGTGGGGAACCACGGACAGAGTCTTGTGAAAAGCACGCAGTCCAGAGGAGTTCCAGTCTGGGAGATCAGAAGTGACTCCAGGGAAGATCTGGCCCTCGAAGGGCAGGCAAGACTTTCAGAGGGAAAGAACATCCCAAGTCGAGGGCAGTTTGAGTTTGGGAAAAAAAGGGAAAAAAAAGTAGAGCACGGACTTGAGGACGGCCAGGAGGGCCTGTGGGAAATGTCTACGGAGCACAGATAGTAGCAGGCCTGGAATGCACATGAGAGATGGGAAGGGCAGCCTCCTGTTCCCAGAAGGGCGAGGGCGACTCGGCGGCTCACCGTGAACCAGAGCAAGGGGGACCCAGCTCCAAGCACCAACGAGTCCCTGAAATCCCAGAAATCAACAATCCAAAGGAACCCGTCCAAGCACACTTCCCCTCATTGACTGCAACTGACCCAGATCAATCTTCTGCTCAGAATCGTTTTGGCACAAGCAGCTTAGGCATGTCCTAATACTCTGTGCTTGCCTGACGCTGCGTCCACGTGTTCTTGCTCCTTCACCTTTGGCTTTTCCTTCCCCAATTCCCAGGAGTGCACTCTACATGTTCTTTCTCTCGTGTTTCTTCCACGGCATCTAACGTAGAACTCCAAACTCTGTAGGAGCCTCATTAAATCTAACCATAAAGGCAAGTGAATGTTTTGTAAGCATAAACGACCACAAGCAAATGCAATGTTGCAAAAACAATTATGATCCTAAGAGGACCACCATCATTTTTGGCATAAAAGGCGTTCCCCAGAAATGATGGAGCCCATCTTCCTGCTCCGAAACCATCCTGGTTACTAGGGAACGGAGTGCTCTCAGTTTAGAAAGACTTCTCCAGACATCTATTCCATGGTTTCTAGGGGTTTCACATTTGAAGATATAAAAATCATGTAGCCGGTTATAAAACGTATTATCTGTCATTCATGATAATAGCTCAATGTGTCCAGACCAGGGGCGCCTGGCTGGCTCAGACGGTGGAACCTGCGACTCTTGATCTTGGGGTCGTGAGTTCGAGCCCCACGTTGGGCATAGAGTTTATTTTAAAAAAATGTGTCAAGAACACTTAGTGTATGCCAGGCACTGAGCAGACAAGTTGTGCATGCCTTAGCTCATGCTCATCCTCAGCTCATGTCATGCTTCTGGTACTCACAGCCAGGCAGTGCTTTCGATACAGTCTTATCCTCCTTTACTAACTAGGGCACTGGAGCGCAGAGAGGTTAACCGGCCAAGGTGAGCCAGGAGGCAGCATCTACAGCCATTTCTGGCCAGTTCGGAGCCCACCCCTTCACCGTTCACCAAATCCTTTCTTCTCTTCCTCCAACAAAGAAGCAGAACTTCCAGAATTTCATGCCTAGGTCTCACCCTGTGCCCCCGGGCTCATCCACGCGCCGCCTCCTCTCACTCGGCTCCTCAAGTCTGTAGTGGCAGCTCCCCTCCCTGGCCTTGGGTGACCCCGTCTCATGCCAAGGCTCCGTGCCCCACACCTGACCACCCCGTCCTTGACCCTCCTCCGGCTCCTTCTTCCCCTTCGTCGCTCCCCACCCCTGCATAACCTCATCGCTCTTCCGTCCTCTGCTACGAACCTGCTCCATCCTCCACGCAGCTTCAACTACCACCACTGAGATCAGGCACATCAGGACTTTTAATCTATGGATCTACGGTCTGACCCTGACTTCTGACCTCCTCGGCATCTCCCCTCTGATGCGCCGAGATACTTCACTCCGTCGTCCAAAACAGCGTCCTCTGACGCCATCCGGCCGCGTCCCAAGCTCTCCACGTGCTACAGCTGCCCCAGGCCACAGTCCTCACAATGAGAGCTGGGGTTTCGCTCCATTGCCTTGCCTCGGCCCCATGCCCCATCAGCCACCCACCCAGTTATGTCTCTTCATAATCTCTGCTCTCCTTTGTATCCCCAGTGCTACCCATGTGGCCCACTCCCTACTGGAGTCCATGAGCAAACTGGGGCCGGGCACTGGGCTTTTTAGGCCCCCTTGTGTCTTCCAGGCCTTGGCAGGGTGTGAAATACTCAGAGGGCAATTGCAACGTCTGGCTGAGGAACCGGGCAACGTCATGCCTATATTACCACGACCCCCTCATGACTTCCTGACCCCTCTCTAATCTTTCCCCTTTCCGACCCATCCTGCCTCTTGCCAGGACATGCATTTCCGTAGAAGACTCTATTTATAGCGAGTCCCCTACTCTAAGATCCTTCCATGGCTCCCCACAGTCCTCGAGGCAAAAAGCAAACTCCTCCATCTTCACCTGCCTGGTGTCTCAAAGTGCCCCAGCGCCAACCCTCCATCCCTGAGAAGTGAGTCTCCCCCCGGCCTGTACAGAAACCACAGACTGGCACCCTGACATCTCTGCCCAGGGCCTTCTCCCCCTCGCGGACTCCCACCAACTCTGCTCGGCTACTGGAACCAGGCCCGTCCTTGCAGCTCCATTTCCAATCCCCAGTACCCCATGAAGCCTTTACTTCTCTGACCTGACCTCGCTTAATCCCCAGCCCCAACCCCCGTGGCTTCCCGTGATCACTGAGGCACGACTGTGATGTAACCATGCCACCCGAGCAAGGGACAGGAAGTGCAGCATGTCCCACTCTGCCGTGAGGTCCCTGGACTGCCTGCCTGTTCAGCCTCCTCGAGGCCAGCCCCACATATTTGCCAGCACAGCCGACCTAGCAGGTGCTTCCTAGTCTGTGTGATTAGACTGTGAGATTTCAGAAGTGTCCTCAGACACCCCCACCTCTCCCGCCCTGTTTGCAATCACTGAATGTTCCGCTTTGGGCTTAAAACAATGTTTCCTCTTAAAACACAAATACCTCTAGAAGCATAAAATAAGCTACAGAATGCACCTCCGTGTTAGCCTAAGTGATTCTCTCCAGGTCTCAGGTGGGGGGACCAGGAGCACGATGACAGGAGGAAGGGCGGAGGAGGCAACGAAGGAACGTACCTCCATAAGGTGAGAGTGACGGGAAAGACAGCGGGGCCCACCTCTCGAGGCTGGGAAGCCTAGCTGCACACTCTGGAACCTTCTGGAAGGAGCCCCAGACGTACTGCATGGCTGACCTCGGGTGCGCCGGGCGGGGCGGGGGGGTGTTGCAGCACTGTCAGGTGGCTAGGACTGCACACTGCTTCAGGGAGGCAGCTGAGAAGGAAGTGGGCTGCTGCTGGCAGGTGCAAAAATAGACCCAAATGCTCACAGGACCCCAGAGCCAGTCCATCTCCATCGCAGAGCAAAACCACTGGAGCGGAGCTTGCTTGCCTAACCAGCCCTTCCCGTCCCCTTCCACGGGCACACACCTGCTCAGGCTTCCATGGGGCCCTCACGGGACATCCTCACCTTTCCAAGCCACTGCCCAAGGTCATTTCAACCATTTCAAACCCTGCTCCCTGACAGCGCCCCTCACGTCCGCACACGGGGGATGTGCCTGGGCCCAGCACCCTGCTGGTGTTGACAGCAAGGCACCCAGCCTGCATGATTTTTCTCAGGAAGTGGTACGTCCGGTGAGGCAATCTGCCTTCCAGGGGACAAAGACAAAAGTAACAGAAGTAACTGGCACAGTGAGAGTCACAGTTTCCTTCCTGAGAAGTTGGGGAGGGGTAACAACCTTCTTCGGGGAACCAGAAACTCAGCAGAGAATGCTGCATCTCTAACCCCACTCAGTCTGCTCCAGGCCCGTGCTCCACCTGTCAATAGGTTTTCCAAGAAGGTGGTTCCTCTTCCCTCTCCCCACCAACTCCCAAAGTACGTCCATCTCTCCCGTGAGAAGCCCAAGATGCCCCACCTCCCACACAGGGAGCGCCCAGGCTGCAGGCATGCCCTGCCCTTCCAGGACCCCAAACTCCTTGACGACCATGCCTGGCGTTCACTTCTTGCTTGCCCCAGCGCCCTGGCCCCGCCCTGCTCCTTCTCCAGACCTAATGCTCCAAAAGCCCCTCTCCCCCTGCACCAAACCTGCTCTGCAAGCCCAGAACATCATCTTTCCTGTCTTCTGACTACTCAGACGTGCGTGTGGGCCTAGCAGCTGCTCACCACAACCCATGACAAGCAGGAAGGAAGTCAGGACCTGCTGGCAGACATCTGTGCCCTTGTGGTAGGAGGTGAGGAGGGGGCAGATGGAGCTGAAAAAGAAGATTCTGGAGGGACCACAGAGTGGCTCCAAGGCCACCAAGGCAGTAAGAGTTAGCTCTGGGACAATGTGTAAAGATAATGATAATAATAATCGACAGGTGCCTCCGGACAAGGTGAGTAATCTGAGCGTTATCTGCTCCTTGGAAGGCAGGGGGCACACAGCTCTATCCAGGGGAGATGTGGCACAACCAGCAAGCCGGACCCTGGGGGCAGGGAGCCTCACCTCTCAGAAGCCGAGAGCAAATCGCAAATCGGGCAGCAGGGCCCACCCAACCCTGGGGGCCCCAAGTCCCAGGCCTGCCCAACCAAGTGCAGTGGGAGGAGCGGGTGCAGAGGGCGGGCAATCTTGTCTCCAGAGCCAAGTCCCTCCAACACCTCTTCCTTGCTTTTCATCGTGGAGCGAGTTAGGTAAGAGGGGAGCTGTTCCTAACTGTTCCTCTGTTTTGAGATCATCAGGCAGGGCTAATATTAACCAGTATGTACCGGTAGTAGCTAGTCTAGTTAAAAAAAAAAAAAAATTATTTCTATACCCATTAGTACGTAGCTGCTTCCTTGAAACCCGAGAGAGGCCCCTCCTAAGCACCAGTGGCCTGGCCCCTTCCCCAGGGCCTGCCCACCATCCAGCAACTAAAAGGTTAATGCCTGGCCAGGCAGGGTGGCCTTCAGGACCCAGCTCCCTCCAGACTGGCTCTGTTCTGATTGGCCAGTGCCATTCCAGTGGCTAAATATTTTGAATAGAGGCAACCCGAGAAGCCAGTGTTGGGGGGCACCTGGCCAGAGGACCGTGCGGATCTTGTTCCTTTCTGGATGAGCAAAGAACAGCAGCTACCCTTACCTCGGAGCTTCCTGAACATTCTTAGGAGCAGTCATCTTGCCTCTGGAAACGAGCTAGGGCTCACCAGAGTGCGGGAGAGAGCCATCAAATACAACTCTCCAAGCTAAAGCAACCTAACCTTGCAGGCTGCCTGATTCCTGCCCTCTCGCCTCCGCCTCCCCCTCCGCCTCTCTGGGGGCCCAGGGCAATCTCAAATCAATGCTTCCTCCACATCTGACTGCCCGGGGTCTACTGCAGAAACTGAGCCCCAGGCCAGCCAGCCGGGAAAACAAATCCGGAAGCACAGCAGTATCTGCCGCCTTGCCTTGGTGTTCTTCTCTAGGCCGGTACAGGCTGGGGGTGGGGGTGCGCGCATGCATGTACGTACACACGTACACACACACACACACACGGGGGTGGGGGTGCACGCATGCATGTACGTACACACACACACACACACACACACACACACACACTGGTGATGCCCACAAAATCAAGCATCCGGCAAGCACACTGGAAGATGTGCATCACACGGTGGTGAAAGTCCCAGTAAACCCAGGTCTCATTTGTGCCACCTGTGAGACAGGCAGTTCATCGATTGGGGGATTTTCTTTCTGCACGTTAGCCTGACGCTTTGTCCAGAAATCCTGCCTGGCCAGAACCTGGCCTGCCCGATTATGCACGGTTCCACCCTGACACCTGTGTTCTGCTAAACTCCCTGGTTGGTGGAAAAATAGTCCCTGGCTACGGGTCACACTGCAGAGATGATGACAAGGAGCTCCTTCTCCCAGCCCCCCCGGTTAGCATGGCGGACGTCCCGGAATTCAGCCCCCTGAAGTCCCGACGGGCGGGATGGTGCCTCCTTACACGCTTATTGTCCACGGGGCTGTGGTAGAACTGGGCGATCACCGCTTCACTGCTGTTGCCCAAGCCGAAGCTCAATTTCTCGGAAATTCTCTTGAATGATTTTCCATAGTCGTAAGACACGTACACCTGGATCAGGGAGGAGGAGAGGACGAAGAAGAGCTGGTGAAAAATGTGGCCGAGAGACCTCTCCCTCTGCCCGCACCTGTCAACATCCCGCCCTGGATCCCGAACGATGTTCCCGACAGGTCCCCGGCGTCAGGACACGACAGATGTGAAGAGATGATGCACCAAGGATAAGCAGGGCACCTCTCCATCCGCCCCCCAACCATGTGGGGGGCAGGAAGCCCAGGAGCGCCACAGCCCCTTGCTGCCCACAATACACAGGCTCCTTTCTGAGGCCAGGATGCTTCCTTGCAGGGGGGCCAGGGGGACCCACGGATGGAAACAATGATGACCTCCTCCCCATGGCCGGGTTGAGTGTCTAACCAATTACATCCAGAGGCAGACTGAATGTGGTTGTCTGACGGGGAGGGACCGGGGACTTGTTTTGCCATCTGCTGAAATGTCCCCAAAAGGTAATCTCATTCTTCAACCCTCTGCTGGGAAGGTCTGTTGCTCCGGCACTGCAGAGGATGAAAAAGGAAACCCTCCCAGGCCTCCACGGAGAAGTCCAACAGGTGAGAAAGAAAAGTGCTGAGTGATTCGATATGCACGGAGGTCGAATGTATAGATTCAAGACGCCCCGGCCCCAGCACTCATCACGCTCGCTGATGTTGATGCTACTGCCTGGCGGGGGTGGGGGGGGGTGTGTGTGTGTGTGTGTGTGTGTGTGTGTGTGACGCG